GAATTAGAACAGATCCATCCATTAAGCATTAGAAATTTAATAACTATAACTTAAGAATTTATAGAAATATCACTCATTCCAAACTGGCTTCTATATAAGTACGGTTCTATAGATAAATGTGGTAAGCAAAAAGAGTGATATTGTGGAGTCTCATGATAAGAAAAAAGGGGGCTTGAAAAGAGAGTAAATGTCTCATTCTTTGAATTGTCATATAAAAATTTAATACTAGGATAGATATCAAAAGGACTCAAAGAAATAAAGAATAAATAGAAATGTAAAATAATTTTCTCATGGGAGATACCTCAGCTGATTTTCCCAAACAAGGTGAATTTAGATAATGATATAAATCTCTGGAAGAGAGTACAAATCGAAAAGAAACTAATGTTAATACCAATATCTCTTAAACAAAACAATCTTGGTTTGACACATAGTGATAACTTACTAATTAAGAGCACTGGTTCTGAAGTTGTAGTGCCCAAGTTCAAATCTCATCTCTGGTGTGGAGGCACTTTGTGACAAGTTACTTTACTTCTTCATATCTCAAAATGGGAATAATATTATTAGTACCTAATCTCGTCACCTTGTTATGATAAATAATTATAATACTGACCAGCTTATTCAATGAATTCTGCTTTTGACAAGGTGATTGGTCAGAAAATGCAAACTGATCAGTTCACACCCTGAACAACATCAGATAAAATCAGTTTATAAATCTATTCCTACTGACCACAGATTAGTCATGTGGTCTTCATGTAAATTCTAGAACTGGAAAAATACTTAAAGATGATCTGGAGCCAACTCTTATTTTAGAGAAAAAAAATAGTCTCAGAGACAAAAAGTCCCTGAGTAAACAGGATCACATGATTTCTTCACGTCAGAGCGAGAACCATCAGTCCACTTTTTTTCTGTTTTCTGTTTTGTTTTATTTCATTTTGGTTCATTGCCACACATTCATTAAATACAGATATTTTTATTTCTTATTACTTATTTTTTTAAAGTCTGTTCTTCTATCATTATAGTTTATGATTCCATAATAAATCAATGCAGTCTAATAATAAGATCTGGGGCTTTGAAGGTCTTTGGAAGAACTTTGTTATGAAAAAATAGAAAGCCATTTTACAATATTGAGCATGTAAGGTAAAGGGTGACGTCGCCTGACTCAAGTTTTTTAGAAGATCATTTTGTCTTCTCTGTTAAGACTAGATGGCCAGCAGGGGCAGGGATCAATTAGGAGGTTATTGCAATAGTGAATTGGACCAGAATGGTAGCAGTGGAAGTTGTGATAAGTAGTCCAAGTCCAGGTATATCTTGACAGTAGTGCCAACAAAAGCTCCTGCTGCATTATACACACAGTGCAAGGGAAACCAAAAGTCACGGATGCTGTGTAACCTTCATTCAAGAAGTTCTGGATTTTTTTAGCTAAATAGCTCTGGCTGCAACTTACACCATGATTTTCTTATTTTCATCTGTATGAGAAAAGGCCAGTCACCACCTACACAAAACACTCTTGTGACTCTGGCAGCAGCCAGAATCATACCTGTATTAATGAAAGAAACTGAACAATAGCTCCCAAGCTCACGGGAGTTTTGACAGCATTACCAAGGTAGGTAGAAGTTGCAACTTAAGGTTAAACTGGAAGATTCTGCGCATACCTGAAATGGGAAACAGCCTACCACATGTCCACTGTTGCGAGGGAATGCAGCTTTTAGGATAGAACTCATCCCATAGGGAAAGACAGAATCAGACATCAGAGGGGAAAGCTAATTCTAAGAATGGCATAGTGTCACTACTTCTCATTGTTCCCAGCTCAGTTCCCTGTGGACTCATATCTGGATGTCAGAGAAAGGAAAAATAATGGTGAACAAAAAAATTTAAAAAGACTGTTTTCATCAAAGTCCTCTGCCATATGGGATTAAAAGTCAACAACATTTTCATACACCATTGTGGTACATAGACTAGAAAGGCAGAGAGGCACTCTCGCTCACTTAGGGAGAGTGCAGTATAACTTCAGCATCTCAAGGATTCTATGCCTTAGTGACAACCATCATGGTACAGGGAGTAGTGTCCTAGGAAGCTCAAGTTCATCATATGACACGGTGGGCCAGGAGAATCCAGCAGAGGTGGAGCAGAGGTGGGGCAGAGGAGGGGTTAAAAGAGGTAGACATCGCATGCAGTGGACCACTTGATGAGCAAGCTCGGCTGAGACTCCCAGAAATACGTGCCTGCATCCAGTTGCACAATTAGGAGGTAAACTAGAGCCAGAGAGGCTTAAGTTACCATTACCAACCTGCCCAGCTTTTGAATTATGATGATTGAATAAAATGTTATGCTCTGTGGACACAAAAATTGTGGCATTTCTATATACCATGGAGTACTAATCAGCCATAAAAGGAAATGAAATAATGTCTTTTGCAGCTACTTGGATGGAACTAGAGGCCATTATTCTAAGTGAAGTATCTCAAGAATGAAAAAACAAATATCACATGCTCTCACTTATATTGGAAGCTAAATAAGAGGTATCTATAGTCATAAAGTAGTGTGAAGAATATTAGAAGCTAAGAAGTTTCTAATACACTACTGTTCTTACTAGTAGTGCAGAATGTTAGAATCTAAGAAGAGGGGAAACAGGAGGAGATCAGGGTTAAAACCTACATCAGGTACAATGTTCATTATTCTGGTAACAAATACACTAAAAGCCCTGATTTTAGCATTACGCAATTCATAAATGTAACAAACAACACTTGTATTCCCAAAATCTACTAAAATAAAAAGTAAAAAATAAAATCTAAAAAAAAAACTGCAATTACACATTGCATCATTTGGTTTAATTATATATCATAATTTGGCAGTCTATATACCCCAAAACTCACGTTTGCCACATCTGCCCAAGATCTCCAAAACCCAAGTAGAGAGCCACTTTGAGGATATTAAAGAGAATAAATTCTGCAAAGCAGACTATTGTTGTTTTGTGAATGGTAAACATGAGGATTTTTTTGAAACAAGCACCCTTCATAAAAGCAGTCGTTTTATAAAAGCACTTGAAAGAACTGAATATCTGTATACCATCTGTCCTGGTACATATATTAAGAACATTACTCCATGTAATGCTTCAACAATGCTACTTAACTTCTTTTCACTCTCGAAATAATACACCTTTTCTAAACACTCCTACATAAAAGACCTGAATTCTTATGAATATTTGGAGTGGCTTCACATTGAAGAAGCGAAATTGACTCCTTGTGCCAGTGAGCCAATTTTACCCACATTCAGTAATTATCTTAATCTTGGATTATACTTTGACCTTGGCTTCGTGCCTCCTCATGCCGGGAGAAGATCTCTTTGTTTCTTTATTTATTCATTTGTATTTCCATCCTGTCTGCTTCTTAAAAGTCTCTAAAATATCTTATACCTGTAATTCCAGATGATGGGAAGATTATTCTTACTACTCCTGCAGTTATGACCACAGCATGAGGACAGAAAGGACAGGGCCAGTGAAAATATTCACCCCACTACTACCCAGCTTCCCTCATCAGTGGTTAAGGTCCTCTATGTGTGCAGTGGGATTGTAATCTAGCCAGAAGAGATGGAAGACAGTGAAGAGATGTGGAAGAGTGTGACAGAGCTGAAGACCACTGGAGGCTTTTACTCAGGTAAACTCAGTAAGTTCCTTGAAAAAAAAAATGAGCAGTTCCTTTAGGCAATATAAAAAAAGTGGAAATTTTGCTCCTCCCCTAAGCAGCCTGGTGATCTGTAAAAATGGTTCACTATTCACTCAACCCAGAAAACCCCACAAAGTCACGCAAGTCACGAAGTTCAGTTCTTTAAGTTCACTTTAAGAACACACCTGGGCCATCAAAGGTATGCATATATGAAAAGCCACCAAGTATCTGAAAGATGTCACTTTAAAGACACAGAGTGTATCATTCTGACTACATTGCTTGAGTTGGTAGGTGTGCCCAAGACAAACAGCGGGGCTGGACACAGGGTTGGCTGCCCAAAAATAGTGCTGAGTTTCTGCTGCACATGTTTAAAAATGCAGAGAGGAATGCTGAACTTAGGCTGTAGATGTAGATTCTCTGGTCATTGAGCATATCTCCAGGTGACAAGGCACCCGAGATGCATTGCTGAACTTACAGAGCTCATGGTCACATTAACCCATCCATGAGCTCCCCTGCCATGTCGAGATAGTCCTTACTGAAAAGGAAAAAACTGTTCCAAAACCAGAAGAGAAGGTTGCACAGAAGAAAATATATCCCAGAAGAAAGTGAAGAAACAAAAACTCATGGCATGGGAATGGCTGCAACATAAAATAGATGCAAATCACAATAAAAAAGAAAAAAAAGGTGGCATATTAAACAAGATACTCGTTAGGTCAAAAGTCCTATGAAAGACACAGTGACATTAGAAATCTATTGCCACACAAGGGCATAAGATCTAGAAAGGGAGCAGAGATTTTGCCTATAATTGTAGAAATCAACTGAAAAGCATCAGTATTAGCCACCTCATAAGTGTGACAAGAGATGATACTATCAACTTCCACAGCAGCCTCATAGCTTCACTTGTATTTGGCCGAATCCGTACATTTCAGATCTTCATATGTATTTTTCATTTTCACTGCTGTCCTTCATCCACTGAAATCCCATTAAGCATAGTGGTAGGAAGACATACACATTGGCTTGGGGATGGAGAAAGAGAATGAAAAGAATAATTCTCCAGGACAAGATGTTTTCTGACAAACAACTTTCCATCTTTATCTGAAAAGTCTCACCATCTTGTTATCCACTGCTTTGCTCCTGCCTGTCAGGAAGATGCCAACATGCCCATCACCAGCGGGCACCAGAATAAATGTTCAGCTCAGCCCTGCACTTCCACTTGCAGTCAGGAAGTCCAGTTTTGTGAGAGCAAGCATATGCGTGCCAAAGCGTGTGTGTCTGTGTGTGTGTGTGTTTGTGTGTGTGTGAGAGAGAGAGACAGAGGCAAAGAGAGAGAAACCATCTTACCTTCCAATGAGGGAGAACTCGCCCACGACACCCAGGCGCCGCATGGCACTAAGGAGGCCTCGCACGGTCATGCCCTCGCAGAAGCACACCACCACTCTGGCCTTGGGAAGCCTCTCTCGGAGCTTGCGCAAGAGTCGGTCAAAGCTCTTCTCCCCAGCGTTGCTGTAGATTTTGTCAGAATGGGCGATGCAAAGGCCTTCCTGGGCAGCCAACTCTTTGAATGCGTCCATTCCACTCTCCCCATAATTTCCTGTCCAGAGACAATCAGCAGATGTTGAAGGCAACCACAGTAACAGCACCACTTAACACAGAAGGAATAGAGAGATCAGATATCACACAAGGAATAGAGAGATCAGATCTGACAAATATTTTGTAAATATACTGGGACTGAAGGAAGATCTGGCTGGATTAAAGAGAGTCATCAAATGCAAACAGATGATCAACTCCGGAAATAGCGAGAAATTATCTGAGCTAGGGCATTCACAATGAAATGAGTTTCGTAAAATGATGAATTGCTTTCTGTTTTATAACCGTGATTCACAGTGGTTGCCCCTGAATTTAACCATGATGAATTGCTTTCTGTTTTACAACCATGATTCACAGTGGTTGCCCCTGAATTTAACCATGTAGGAGCGATGAGCACATTGGGTGGGTGGGGGCTCACACCAGCACAAAAAGAAGGCCTGTTTACTTTCAGGCTCCCATCAGCAGGCTACCAGGTTAAGAGGCACCATTCGTGGTGATCTCCATGAAGCATCTCCATGAAGAATGAGTAAGCAAAAGAAATGAAATACTGGGCCTGGGAGGAGATCAGTAGACCAGAAACAGCTACTGGGCTTAGTCAGAATCCACCATCCTCTGAGGAAGCAGTGGGATTGTGGGAGATTTGTGTTTTACATTTCTTTGTCTATCATTCCTATGATAAACTACACTGTAAAAGAATCAAAAACTAATGGAAATCAATGAAATAAAACAAATGCTTCACCAATTCCCCATCTCTATAGTTCACTGATGACTTCAGCCCCTACCTCAGGAGCCTCTAGCTCCCTACGCCTCTCCCCAGGTTTGGGGATTTTACTCCCCATGAGGGGGACACAGCCAATACCCTGTCCTTGAAGTCTCTCACCCACTCCCCTCCACTGATATTTCCTGTGACCCACACACATCCATGGTCGTCATACTTCTGACTTCATGATCATTCATGTTTCTAATACCTCTGGATGTGGATGGCAGATAGCTCAGACTGTTTCCTCCTCTTATCTTCTGAGCTTAGGTTTTCTACCACCCCAATGACAGCATCTCCTCAACCCTATTAACCTTTCTATTTCTTACACCTTCCCCTTCACTTCCCTCCTTGTCCAGTTTAGATTTCATAGTACAGTCTTATAATCAGTCCTTTGCAAATGCCTTATGTTTCTTTTGTTTTGTTGACAAACCCCCACTGCTCATTAAACCCAGCCATCCACCTATATTCCATGTCCACACCTGGGTACTTAAAAGTAGCTGAAAAAACTCATAACCTTGTTTACTGGTTGTATTTAAAATTCATGAGCACACATACCAAAAGGGATACTAAATAGTAAAAGGAGGGCGGCTCCTGTGGCTCAAGGAGTAGGGTGCCCGCCCCATCTGCCGGGGGTGATGAGTTCAAGCCCAGCCCCAGCCAAAACTGCAAAAAAAATAATAAAAGGAGATCATACTACATATCCCTGAAAATAAATTGTCTAAGTGTCTAACATGATTATTTCATCCTTACTCTTCTCTCTTCAAGTTTCCATACTACTAGACCCACTCCACCCCTCATCTCAGGTGGAGTCCTCATTTCCTATTTAAATAAGAACACAGAAACGATTAGACAGAAGCTAGTTCAGCTACCCACAATAATACATACAGAAATGTCTTCCTTGGCATTGATATTCTCTGGCATTTTCTCATCTAGTGACAAATTTGACGTGTGTCTGCTTCAAGATAGAGCCAGCCCCTGCTCACAGACACTAGATCCAACTGCTTTTGTCTATGCAAGGACTTTCTCCTGCAATTGTTCCTGCTCTATTGAATAATCAATTTCTCCCTCCAAATGGAGTCAATCAAAAGGAAAAACATCCCAGCACCCATGGTCTCACTTGAGGTACTGTCTCATTTGCTACACCAGTTCCCAGCAGTGCTCATTGCCTCTGTCAATATATTTTCTTCTTCATCTCACATTTTCTTATTTTTTTCTTTTTATATTTTTTCTCTCTCTTTTTTTAGTTGAATTGCAATTGATATACAAAACATTGCACGCACATTGTGCACATCTTGGTGTACTGGACCGTATGCATACCCATCACGTCAGAATCTTCTCTTGCAAAAATCTTCTCTTGTCCAGGCCACTAGTAACTTCCCTATTGCCATAACCTATGAGTTGTTATCTGTTTTCATCAATCACCACACTGCTTTCAACAGTTGGTCAGACCCTTGAAACATTTTATTTTCTTGGTAACTGTGACAGAACCTTCTCCCCGTTTCCTCACTACTCACTGACCTGTCCTCAGTATATTTGCTAGATTTTCTTTCTCTCCTAAATATTGTCATGCCAGGATTCAGACCTGGGAATCTTTCTCTTCTTCCCTTATACTGCCATCCTACGTACTCCCATTTAGTCACCTGCCTTCAAATTCCATCTGAATACCACAGTTGAATCCTAACTACAGATCTCCAGATGGAACTGGCCCTTGGAACAATCGCCTACCTGTTATATTTGTTTATAGACATTTCAAACAAATCTGAAAACTGAAATACAAATTTTTTCCTTCTCTACTTTGTAATTCTCCTTCCAGACATCTTGTATTGGTAAGCAATGCCTTTACCTACTGAGTTGCTCCAGAACAAAACTTAGAATCTGATTTGTCTTCCATCGTTTTCTCACATTCCAGACCCAGACCCTATTTCTAGAACATTCCTATTCCATTCTCCCTCCTCTATTTCAACCTTTGTCACCCTAAACCATGAGTCCAAACAATTTATTGAAGAAAGGAGGAATAGGAGAAGCAGGAAAGAGCAGGAGGGGAGACCTACACAGAAAGGTCATCTCAGCTTAAAAGGAAGTTGCTAGAGTATAAGACACTGTAGCATCAACCTCACCTCATGCCAGGGAGACCCCAGCAGTCAGTCATTGGGTTAGGTCTACAAAAGCAGAGAGAGGCACAGCCTCTCAAGAACAGGGACCCCCAGGAATGAGGCACACCCTTTCAGGAACAGGGCCCCTCAAGAACAGGGCCCCCCAGGAACGAGGTACAGCCTCTCAGGAACAGGGCCCCCCAGGAACGAGGCACAGCCTCTCAGGAATGGGGACTGGTAAAAACCTTCTCTCACAGTGGCTGGGAGACTAATGCACTTGGAAGGTAAAAGGAATCTAGACAGGCCACAGGCAGCACCATCTGCCAAGTACTTCTCAGTTCTTACCTAGACAACTGCCCTTGCTTCCTGATTGGTCTCCCTCCTCCCACTGTTTTTCCCCATGATTCATTACACACCTGGCAACAAAAGTTGTCTGTTAAGGTATGAATCAGATTATGTCACATATTTACAGAAAATCCCAATTGCCTCCAAATATGCTTGGAATGAAACTGAAACTCCTTTCCTGGACTTCCAGGCTATGTGTGGACCAAGTCTTCCAACTTCCTTCACCTTCTCCAACCCCATGGCCATCTTTCTCTTCCCAAACTTATATGTGCCTCTTTGTTAAGTGTTTCCATTATCTGAAAAGATCCTCTGCTATTCGATACTCAATGATATCTCAAAAAAGATATCACCTCCTCTGAAAAGCTTCCTCTGGTCAGTTAGCTTAAAACAGCCTCTCAGTAAATCCTGTACATGCCCCCTGTTTTCACATCAATACAGTTATGTGTTGCTTTATGACAGGGATATATTCAGAAATGTGTTGCAAGGTGATTTCGTCATTGTACAAATATCACATCGCATTCTTGCGCAAACTTAGATGGTATAGCCTAGACCTATGTGACAGCTCATTGCTCATAAGCACAGAAAAAGTCCACTTGTTATAATTACCTGATAAAGAAATACACACAAGTTATAAACAAAAGCAATTAAACTAAATAAGTAACAGTGGGTAATGAGCATAAGAAAAAAATCACTGAACTTTATTAATTATCAAGAGTGCCTTTAAAACAAGACACTATTAGAATGCTAGGATCTCCAAGATAAATAATACTCAGTGTCAAGATATTAATATAAACATATCCATTCAGTAAAAGCAGTTCAAGCTTTTAGCGGACAATCTGGCTATGGTTTTCAAAAATGTTTAAGACAACCATTAGGGAAATGCAATAATTATTTAGTCAAAATAATTGTAAAATATATAATAGTGTTCAAAAAGAACTCAAGACTTAAATTTCAACATCTGTAAAAGTTGCATGAGCATGGTAATGAAACCCAATAAGATGTTCTTATAGTTTCGAAAAGAAAGCTTTCTTACTTCTTTTTTTATGGGATTAAATGGTCAAATTAGTTTATTTTCTTCTTAATTCAATGACTTTCAGTGACTCATTTATTTTAGTGAGGTCCAAATTTAAGCATTATGACATCACAAAATTCCTCCCCTCCATGGACTGTGGAAACATGTCACAGCTCAGACGAGAGACACTGACTGATTATAAAGGAGAACACTGCAGCTGGCAAGTGAATGCCTCATTCATCTGCAGAAGAGGGCACCAGGAAGGAAGTCATATGCTTCTTTCTTACAATAAATGCAGGTTCAGGAATCTACAAGGTAAACAGTCATCACCAGCAGACTCACTCAACAAAAATCACTGTCAGTCTGCCAGATGATTATGTTACAAGCAGAATAACTTTACTGCTAAGGTGCCCACACTTGAACTTTGATCACAAGAATGATTTTGCTTCTTTATCAAAACACCTGCAGATTAAATGAGCAAGAATGTTCATTGCATTAGAATCAGAAAGTCCTTATGTTTTAAATCTCATAAAGGCTCCAGACAGACTCAGTCTAAACACCTGCACTTACAGACAAGGAAATTGAGGTGCAGAAAGGTGAAATGGCCCGTGAATGGGCACACGGCTTGTTGATATCAGAACTGGAGCAGGTCTACGTCTTCTGACTCCTCATTTACTGTTTATTTCTCTTAATAGCAAATAGCAATTAAACATGTACATTTTCATAATTTAAAATGTCTGAATAGGTCAGTTGGTTCTATGAAATGCTTATCCCAATTTTTGAACTTGTATATT